AATAATAATGACACGATCGAAACACTAACGTTTGACTGCAACTCAAAACCAAGTTAATCTTTTACTCCAAGATCATTAACTAAAAGAAATCATGTAACAATAAGATGGAGAAAATTTCATTTACCAATTCAATATAGGAGTTCATTCATGATTTCACAGAAATGTATATGGTATTACAGGAAAAATGTGATGATCTATTGATTCATTCACCATTATTGAAAAACAAATGGATAAACAAAAATGAATTTAATATTGAACGGATGTCATATTAACGCAAAAATAAAAATGATTTATTGTTATCATGTTATCTGATGTAGAATGTAGTTATATATATATATATTTGTTCGTTTATTGAAAATTAATTCATTACAGGTAATACATTTTTCCGTTTACTATCGATATTTATCAAAAGTTATTTTCTCTTCATTAAATTTTACATTTAACTGTGAATTAGTATCTGTCGAAATCCCCTCTTGAAATTAGTCATAACTCAGTGATAAATGGGTTGTAAATACATTAATCTTACAGAAGATCAGTCGCGGTATAAACAGACAAGACTTTGGCGCGGTTTCAAATCCCACAGAATACATCAGTTCGCAAAAGTTCACAAGTACACCTTGTTGAGAAGTACTAGCTAACATAAAGCCCAGGTCTAGGGTTGGTTATCGACTACTTTGAATCACAAACAATTCATTCCCATTTTTTTTCGTTTGTGCACAATAGATTGGTTTATTCCACATATTATAAGTAATCCACTTCATAGTAATAATTATTCACATAATACATATTTATTTTTTCGACATTAACTTGATGACTGTAACAACAGACATTTTATATAGAAAGGAATTTCGTTTAAATAGTACAAGTCCAATAGATTTGTTTTTCAAGAAAATAAGCAAGGTGTTTATCAAATTTAAGGTAGAATACGTCTTGTTGGTCAAACTAGCAATATAACCGATAAACTAACTGACTCAAGAAAATTTTGCACTTTTATACGGTTTTAATAATTGTAAGCTGAGCGGTGTAGAGCTGGATTTTGTATTCGCCATCATTCATCGGCAATCATTGTTATATTCATAACACCTATCGTATTATTTAGTTTGTTTACGTTTAACTTTGTAAAGCCTTTCAATTAGTTCATTTAACAGACAGTGTTATTCGAACAAAAACAATTTGTTTATCCATGTATTATTATCATGGCTGTATGATTATATATGCTTGGCTATCTGTGATAGAGTACGCACATATCCCTTTTTCTAGCTTAAATGTTAGTCGCTTAAATCACTCAATGGACCATTCGCTTTGCCATATATATATTTAATAATGGTTATCAGGGCAACTGATACACGTTTTGTAAAGAATCATCTCTAAAATTATCCACTACAACGTCTTTGATAATCTTTTATAAGGATACTTGTATCACATTATAATGATAAAGATTTTTAGAAATATTTTAAATGTGTTAGTTTTCGTGATGGAAAGAATATAGACTTAGGAGTTAGAATTCATTTATAGATTACCACAATTATTGAGATTAATCATTCCAATGGTGTATTGTTCAAGCTTAAATTGATAATACACTCTAATAATAATAATAATAACAATAATAATAAGCGGTTTACATGTAACGAGTATAAAAAGTGGTTGCGAGATCTGATTTTAATACTGATAGCAAATTGAAGAAGTGATTATAAAATCTATATTAATGACAAAGAAATATTCAACACGCAAGTCATATCAGGTGGTCCTTTACTTAGTTGGTCGAATACAGAAATCCGTAGAAGCAGTTATCATAGGTTATTTAAGTTTTTGTTAATAACACATTCACTTGATAGGAAGCCAAGAAAAACAACTCTAAGGTTTAATACTATTGGACACTCATACAATTGATTAATGTTTCATGTTAGGATAATCAACATTAAATAAAAACTCGAAGAAATGGAAACATCACAGATAGTTAAACAAAAATGGAACAAAGTAAACAAATCAAACTATGATGTACAGAAATGAATACTTGTCTAAAATACGTAAATAATAGACAAATGATGGTATCCATATTTTTCGGAATTTTTAAGCTGTCTAGCCTGTTCTAGTTTACATTAGTTGTTTAATTAAAATAAATCTATGATGTAAACCAAAAAAAATCTACAATCTCCAAAAACCGTACATGGTAATATTATTTTATAATGTTGTCATCTATTTTGATACCTGTCTACTGTATATTTGTTTAGACTATGTAACAATTTCATTCACAGTCAGTTATTAGGAATAAAACTTCCTGCTTTTTAACTGTTCGTCAACTATTATGTTTGGTTAGAAATGTCAGTTGAAGTCAGCTGATTATGCTGAAAATGTTTTTCATTTGCTTGGTATAAACATTCACGGGTAATCAATAAATCATATCCTTTCAGATTTACTTGATTAAAACAGGAACGTATCATGTTCAGTTAGTTTCTTTTTCTTTTAAGTTTGACAAAAGCCGAAGGGTTTATCATGAGAATTGATTATTTATTGGTAGAGACAAGGTCAGATAATGAAGTAGTTTCAGTTGAGAGAAAAAAAACTATAGATTTTTCACTTATAAGAAGTCTATTCAAGTTTAATGGGGTGTTGCATTATTTTGCACAATGTCAATGTTGACTGAATACAATAGTTTCTTATAAAATAATATTTATCAGGAAATATAAGAATAACTGATATTTATTCTACCCGGTTATGCCCGATGAAAATCTCCAAAAAGATATAAATATTTAAATAATGCTTATTATTATTTAAAAATGTTTGTTTCACATACTTAGTGTCTTTAAGTTTGATGGTTTAACAGAATATCCGTGTTAATTATAGATAATGGTCTTCAATCTGTAAATTCTTAATTTGTCTTTAATTAGGATAACCCAGCAGTTGACATTTGTGATCTTTACTTATTGTTCATAATCAACACTACATATTTAGACCACGTAGTTGAAATCAGGTAGTACACATTTTCTGACTTCAGCTGAACTATGATATCCTGCAATTCCTCTTTTGATATCATATGGGAGGTAATATCTTTGCATTTAATGTTTATTTCGTGACAGAAACTACTATCGACTTATAGGAAGTCTTAATTAGATTACCAAACTTAATAATAAATATTTATTGAGTAGTGACTAGTTTTAAAACGAATTAACTGGATTTTTGTTGGAACAAGTAATCTGTGTACACAACTAGGTTGTACATAAACTCAAAACTGAGAAATAGCACTGAGTGAAGCATTATATAAATACACCACTCGATCCAAACTCCACAGTTTAAAACCATTACAGTTTCATCAGACCTGAAGACAGTTAAGGAAATCATGTATAAAATTGAGTTTGCACACATCTGAAGTGTTTTAATCTAAAACGAATTAGTTGATTAGCTTTTTTCAGATATTTTTAAAAGTTCGTTAGTTGATGTCAGTTTATAGTACACAGGATTATCAGATAAGTATTTATTGGTTACAATCTTAGGTTGCCTGTTTATCTATTTTATTAATTTACATAAGTTTGTTTGATGTGGATTTTCTTATCATAATTACTTATTATATTGTTACTTCACATTAACTGATCTCATCGACCAAGGGACCTTATAGTTATTACTTTGTGAAGAACATTGTATAGATCACACGAAAATGAACAAAATTTTTTAGAATTATTGTTATACATTTTGTATAGTGACAAGTCCGTGTTTAATTTAAACATGAGATTGTCATTGAACAGATCAGTGATCAGAAGTTATCTCTAGAGAGAAACGCTTATCTGAATTTTAATCCTACACGATGCGGTATTATGAATCATATTACACACTGTTATAAACATATTTTCCCTACCATAAACACAAGTTCAGTATTAGACTTCAGTGACTGAAATACTAGATATTTTTCTAACTCAATGAAAAAACGGTAGAAAGTAATTAATACCAACGATATTAAATGATATCTTTCTAAGTTCTAATTTAATCAAGTAACTAGCCATGATAACCTTAGTATCAAAATCGATAAAGGTATATTGACAAAAAAATCAATAGATCATAAATTTAGAGCTCAACACAGAACAGACATATTTTTAATATTCGTAAGCCCACCAATCATATACTACCATTATATAATCGTGCTGAATGGTATGTACTGGATAAAGCATGTTTACACAAAGGAATGTATATTAGAACGAAACCCCAAGGAAAACACAAGACATAATATTTTGGAGAAAAAATACATGACCTTAAAATGTTATATCAGTGATAATAATCATAATCACAGTAAAATTGAACATTGATAAGACAAAAAAACACGGTCATAAAATATCAGCTTCTTCTTACGAACTGATGCACACGATACAGCTGTTTGTTAATAATAATATCATTGCCGATGTTATATCCAGCTAACATAATGAAATAAATAAATTCCAAAACTTTATTCTTCCCGTTAGTTAGCTCACAGTAACTCTTAAAGTACACACACACACGGACACGAGTGATAGCACTATACGATCGTGTTTACAAGTACATTAACATGAAAGTTGCTGAGTTTGACTATAAAGAAAATAATGACAATATGAAGCTCATTTTAAGAGTAAAAGTGAAGACTACCAGATAATGTAAGTTGAATATATGCAACACTTACAAATGGCAAAATAAACATATATACATGTAAACGGACACACATAAGTGTTCAGACCCAGATGAATGTGGTAAACAAAGATATATTTTTTGCCAATTAAGTAGGAGAACGGAATTCAACTGAACGGTTTTGTTATTCATTAGTTTAAACAAAGAAAGTAGAAAATAATCATTAACATAGGTCATGTATTATTAGGTATCAAGGATAATAGGTTATAAGAATTTGGTTAAAAATTACGTAAGCAGAAATTTTGAAATGCGCGTTTTGTAGTTAAACATAGAATGATGACATTAGCATTTATAGTGAAATTTAATGTTTGGTTTATTACTAGTATCAAGTTTTTGAGTTTCTTTTAGCTCACCTCTGAAGATGATATTTGATTTGATTTGACAAATATGATCTCGTTTGTTGCAGTATGTATATTAGGAGAATCATTATTACTGATGTTATTAGAATACGATACTTTGCTTTCACCCAAAGAAGTAGTTTGTTTTTCGTGGTCATATTCATTATCATCAATGTAAAACGTTGAGTATGGTCGGAGTGTACTTGTGGAATAATCATCCGTAAGTTTTGCTGTATATAGATCAAGTTGTGAAATAGCATCCACAGCAATGCTTAATGGTCTGGCGTGCATACGTGATAGAAATTCGTCATCTTCTTTATCTTGTTCAATTCGAATAAATCGAGGTAAACGTCCATTAGAAAGATCAGATTCTTTACGGTATACAAATTCCACATTTAATGAATTCGAATGCCTGATTGACCTTTGTGAATTTTCTGCAAGTTCACAACTCGATGAGTTATTCAATAACTCAGAAGTAGTAGTAATGGTAGTATTATAGTTAGTAGATTGAACGTCTAAGTGAGGTCTACGTTTACTGTGACGTCGTCGTAAAATATTTACATCTCCTATAACAAACCGACGATTCTCTTCATCACTACACTCAGGACTTACTGGCGAACATGTTTCTGATATTGGATCAGGTGAGATTGGAGTTTTACCTGAACGAACTGGTGCAGGACTACAAAGTTGTGATGGGCTACTGAATCCATTACGATACAATGATATTGTTCGCCCAGATACATTCACAGGTTTAATGTCTATTGAACCAGCCATATTGAGGAAGGAAATGTGAACAACAATTAATAAGATGTCTTTTTTAAGTAAATCCTTTGAATATTTGAATTTTTTATTTGTGTGTTTACCTGTCGTATATTATTTACTAAGAAAAAGGTTTTTATGGTAAAATATGCAACCTGAAATTTTGAACCAATCACAAAGTAGGTTGAACAAAGTTTGTAACTAACCAATAAAATACTCCGCCAATCAGTAATCAATTGTCAACATTAATATGATTATTATTAATTCGGAAAATAGAAAATTTAAGTGAATGTTTATTTAGAATAATATTATTTAATGGGTATGAATTAAGATGAAGTTAAAAATTGTCCTCTCAATCAACCAACTAATGAAGATATCAGATTATATTATAGAAAATACTTTTTTCTAAAATGAGTTGGTTGAATGGAGGAAGATAAAATTAAGAGATGGAAACGGGTATGTGATTCAACAGGAAGTTTTGCAGTTTGAAAAGAGTAGTGAAATAATTTTGTTATCAGGAAAAAGTTACAAGACTGATAGAAAGGTAAAAATAATCATACTTTTTCGGTTAGTCGTATATTTGTATATTGTGTTCTCAGAAAATGAAATGAAGGGTAATTCAAATTATCAAAAGTTGATATGTACTCATTTAAGTCATAGGAAGAATAAGTCAACTAGAAAGACATATTAAGTAACACAACGTGAATAAATGAAGTTAAATGGAAAGTTCCTCCCGTAATAATTCTAAGGTCTAAAGATAGATTATTTGTACTATATATAGTAGTATCTATGTTTTTTCTCTCAGTCTACGACTTTTTTGGTTATGAATTATTTAGTATATTCAGCGACTGATTATCGAAAAATTGCAGTCGAAATCGATCATAAAGTGAGTATCAGTAATTTATTTTCAACCAATTACTGTCCTCTTGAAAAAGTCTGATAAATTCCTAAAGAATACAAATATTGAATCTTAGGTTAAAATTGATATGTTTTGAAACCTTTAAAATGATAAACAATCTTTTCACAACATGAGAATCAGTGATTCTACTTGTGTCACAATATATGTTCTTGTCTAACTATAACAGTTAACGTCACATTCCTTGCTTTCGTATATCTACTTTCGTCTTCAAAGTTTAAAAATCTAATTACCTTATGATACTGCTCCTTAAACTACCATGATTTACTGAATCTGAAAATTACTCTTGGACATGCAAACACACAAATAATCTGAAAATCTGTGAAAGTGGAAATCCATACTTTATTACATTATGTCGTCTGTTCATACAGTATACTTCTTTATATATTAACCTATTGAGGCTTAAAGCAATGAAAATGAAATAGAATGACATTGAATATTATTTACTTGATAATGAGTAAATTTTAAGTTAAATTCATTCAGTCTATAAATTACTCACTTATAAAAAGTATAAATCTCGATAAACAATCGCTTCACTTTTCAAAAGCAGAATATTCCTTTTTGCAATTAGATACAAAGTATATAATTTTACAAACAAAAGTGAAAATTATACATTCTAACATTTCTAACGAACGAGTTTCCTGCTAAATAAACAACAATTACTAGTTCAATTAAGATTTTTGTTTGTTTTAATGAGATGGGACATATTTTTAATAGATTGCTTATGATCAATATTAAGTAATAAATAGCAGAGAATAAAGGTAACAAATAAAAATACAATTAATACATTTAAGTAGTGATTAAAAATGTATTGAGTGCCAAAAACAATATTCAAATTATGCCATCAATAAGAACTAGATTTTTTTCTTTGTTCGAAGTAAATAAAGTCAATCTTCAGTGAAGCAAACGTTCTCATTCAGACGTTTAGTAAAAAGATGAATATATATGCTTTCAATTAGTTTTTCACCATGGGTCTATGCTATATATATATATATGTATATAGTTTCTAACTATGAAACGAATTAATACTAATCAAACAGTAGTGTTACGTAATAATGTTGTAACTCCAAAAGTGATTAAGGAAATAATATCGAATGATTGTCTAAACGATTAGAAGCGAGCATAAGCTAACCATAATAATTAAAGTAATTATATTTTAAAAAAATTGAGAATATGTAGATCAACGGTTGTCAAGCTGCATATCTGACAAGAGAAATGACAAATTATTTTGATGAAATGTCAATATAATGATAGAAATAAAGGGATCAGCGATTGCCAAATTATGTAAAATTATTTTATTATTGTATTTGTTTATATTAATATGGAGTGATAAACAAAAGCTAATTAAAATGAAATATTTTTTTCGCTCTATTCATCTTTTTACTAAATAGAAATGGATTAAAGCATAGTTTTCGAATCATAATTTACATCATTAACTGAGAAAAATTGAATCAAGTTAGTCAGATAATATTTGTTCAAGGTAAGTAGAAGATTATACAATATTGTATCATATGATATTCAAGTTAATCTAGGCTCCTCAATAGTTTCAGATAATTAAAAATGAAACATTTTAACATTTTTTATTTCAGAGTTTTTCACTGTTTATTTTTAATTAGTAACACAAATGATCTTAGTCATTGACAAATATATTTTGTAAAATATCAATTTTGTGTAAAGAACACGTAGAACCATTTACTTAGAGTAATTTATAATAATCAGGCTACGTACTCATGGTTCAAAAAATCAATTTCGTTTTAAAATACTACATTTCATCGTAAAATATAAAACAGGTATACTTCTTTAAATATGGTACTTTAATTCTGTTTTCTATAAATGGTTTAAAAATACCCCAGTAATGGTGCCGACATATAGTATTATGAATAAGAATGCTAATGACTATTTAGAAATGAAACGAACTTTTCAAATCATCTAATATCAAACAGAGGATATTTTAAAATACTTCACTCAAATTGTATACAGTAGATTAATTATAAATTCATTTAAAAATGAAGATGGTGAGAAATAATAACAATCATGAATGCAGAAAAAGTAGATAACGAGTTTTATCGATGTTAACATTAAATATACAGTTGTTAGTGCTTATCAACGTATTGACTTGTTTACTTTACAAACGAAAATGAGTGGCAGTACTTAAATTTTTTTGACTGGAAAGAAGTCATTTTTCATTGATTTATATTTTCAGTGGTTTTCCTTTTGATGTCCCTTTATAATGCTAATTTTCTTAACACTTATAGTTTTATTTATAAATTCAACTAAAAGTTCTAAACACTTGTCTACGCAAGATACTTAGTGTCCGTTGGCCGGGAAGCATCAGCAACAACCTACTGTGGTAGAAAACAAACGGGCTTCCTGTTGAAGAAGAATTTAGCAAAAGACTATGAAAGTGGATAGGACATACATTACGGAAACCATCAGACTGCATCACGAGGCAAGCGCTATCTTGAAATACAGAAGAAAAAGGAGAAGAGGAAGGCCAAATAACATACTGTCTCAAAAATTGGAAGCATACATGAAAAGGATAAATAGCAACTGGAAAGGATTTCCCAGAACAGAGTTGGATGGAGAATAATGGTGGGTGGCCTGTGCTCTTCTACGAAAGGTAACAGGCATAAGTCAGTAAGTTGATTAGAAGTTGAAATAATAATAATAAGTTAACTAATTTCTTGTTAAATCACAAAATCAATACTTTAGAGAAACACATTAATAGAGGAAATAATTAATAGAAGATTTAATGCAAATAGCGTGAATGTATGTAGGCGAAAGAAAGAAACTTTATTGCTCTTTAATGTTTAATACTGAATTCGGTTAATGTCAATTTGTAGGAAAACTTATCATCAGAATGTACAATCTATTCACAAACCACCTAACTAAATATTAATCTGTTCAATTTTTTGTCTTATTGTTATACTATTATACTTAACAACTATTGTAATGATGTAGAGTCATGCATGTGAAGAAAAATTTAATCGGTCATTAAATAAATGATTAAAATTCAATAATAGGTTGGTCGAGAATAATATGTGAATAAATGCATTTCCTGTTTGTTTTAATCTTCAAAGTTATATCAATCCTAAATGAATTATCATTTATAGCGTTAATTTTATGGAAAGCTATTAAATTTACTTTGTGCCCTTGAAAATTACCAAACAATTTGATTTTGATTATTACCCTGAAGAAGTCCAGACAAGTTAGCTGGACGAAACGTTGGAATTAGTTAAATTTCAATCGCGGAGAATATTTCAAATATAATTTTCACATATAATGACTTCTCTATACTCGGCGCTCAATTACTGTCAAACTATTCGTTCTAATCTTGACGAATATTCGTATAAATTAGAAGAATAAAGTAATCAATCAGTGTGAAAATATTAATCCCGCGTTTTGAACAGTTTGACGGTAACATCACTAGATGTGACAGTGTGTCAATGGTTTAAATCAAACAATCAGCAATAATTTATCCAAGATTTTAGATAGACCTTGTTCAGTGGCACAAATTATGAATGAAACCTAACTTGGAGGCCTACTAAAGAATCCTGTTGACTGTCTGATATTATGGAGTATTAAAAATAGTAAATAAATAATTAAAAAAAGACAAGGATGAATGGGATAGAGGAGAAATAAATTGGCCACTTAGTAATAATTTCTTGTAACTATTTATTACTAAAGTGTAGATAAGATGTATTTGTAATCGCTTTAGTTTCGTGCTTGTTAAGTTTTAGTTAATTTGCTGTTAATTTTCATCAGTATATTCAAAAATAAGTAGTTGATTGAGGAACGTTCCGTCGGAATATTTTGAATTTCTCTGTAGTACGCGAATTGATTACCCTACTCAGAATTAAATCCATAACGTTCATAGTTCGAAGCATCCATATAAAAATTTAATTGAATAATTTGTATTACATTCTGACCACTACTGAACTCGGATTAATGTAAACGTGATGATTTAGTTTTGTAGCTCCTCATTGCAAATTCTAGAGATTTATCGTTGTTCATTTTAACGATTTTAAACTTGTTTTAAAGAACTTCCTGATTCTTTTTTTCGTACCTGATTAAATAATAATCTTATATTTAATAATCATTTAACGGATAATTATCTGTCTATTGAATAACCATTTGATTCTCAGGCTAATTATTATTTTCACTCAAGTATAATAGGTCAAAAGATTTATTTTTATGATCAATTATCACTTGGTCACATTTTATATAAGTTTTGTTTTACACGT